GTTAGGGGTGAAAAATGTTCGGTTTTGTGGTTAAGGGGGGTAATTCAGACGACCGCGATAGTTCGTGGGTGTAATTCGTACTTTTTCCAATTTATTAAGCCTAATTAGTCTGTAATTAGCAAATGTTTACTGAAGCACCACATTGTCAAATCATGGCGTAATTAGGCTTAAAAGATTCGCCTCGCAACTTTAATGCAAATTGTGCAATTGGTTTTTTTTCATCCACAGTTAATGTTCATGCATGCATCCAAATATTTGATGTGATGGAATTTTTGGAAGTTTGAAGGAACTAAACACTGCCACATCAGTACTGAAGGAACCACTTCTCTCACACTGCTACTATCATTACTAAAGCAGTAGAAATTGTTTTTCTATTTTTTTTCTCATTCCTTGAGGGAACCTGAAATTTTTAGTTTTTTCAGAGTGGTTCAATGTAAGGATCTTTACCAGAGCACAACAAAGGCATATCAATACAGTACCTTTCTATGATGTGCTCCGCATGTTACTAGAACATGAAGCTGAATCTGATTCTTTTGCCTATCATGTGCTCCGAAAGTCCGGATCAAGACCTCTATAAACTGGGCAGCAGATCAAGACTACGTCGAACGTGCGACACGTTCACTCATCAAATCACTCGGCACCATGGTTACTGTACTGTGCGTTATGTTTGTCCCTGTTTCCGTTGATCTACCTGACAGTTGCAGCCTCCAGCAGTTGAACGGATTGGTTCGTGTTGGCACCGACACTGCAAGAGGATGTTTCACATCTCCGTGCAGCCAGGAACTGTGAGAAGCTTTTTTTTTTTTGAGGGAAAGAGAAACGTTTTCTCCATTGCTCATTTGCTCTGTCCGATTGAGATCTGGTCTTATCCTCCAGGTTGGGTTCTAACCATGTACCGTAGTAGTACGTGCCAGTTTGGCGAGCTCACGGCGAATTCCTCTGCCCCGTTCGGCCGCAATAACCGAAAGCTGGTGCTGCTTGCATTGCTTTCGTGGACTTGGCCGCTGTGCTCGCCGGTAAACGGTACCGGGCGGCGAAATTAAGAGGAGCTGACAGTTGGGCGAAAGACGGAGAGACTTTCAGTGCTTTTGCGTGTGTGACCCTTGCGTGTGCATCTGGGAAGGCCCTTTTCCAGGCTGCCGTCTCGAGCAGGTTTGCAATCTTGGTCCATAGGAAGAGAAGTGAAGCCGAGCTACAACAGTGACACTTCTCTCCAATGTGATCAGGCACAGGAAGTACTGTAATTGACTAAAGGTTGAATCAGTGACATACTGACATTTCTAAAGGTTGAATCAACTTTTCAGTAGCCTGCTAGCTTGGAAATTTTATTATTTTTTAACCTTTTTATTTTTAAAAATGATTATTTCAAAACTTATTTTTAAAATCTGAACTTTTTGGTTGTTCGTCCGCCTAACATGGCAAAACAACACTGTCACATCACACGCTATTCAAGATGATGTGGCAAGGCAGAACAATTACCATAGCTATTTTGACGTGGCCAAATAACATGCCACGTCATCGGCGTGATAGTGTTGTTTTATCACACCAACCGGCTGGCGTAGTCAAAAGTTTCAGAATTATAAATAAGTTTTGAAAATGTTTATTTTTAAAGAAAAAAATAAAATGTTTAAAAAAAATTTAAAAATCCCTAGCTTGTTCGTTTCCTTGGAGCCTCAAAACTGAAAAGGCCCATAGAAATGTACTAGTTCAAGTCTAATTATCTGTTGGACTTGGCCTGCTAGAGAAAACCTTCCTGCCCTTGTTGGGCCTGATCTCTAATTGCCGTCTGGGCATTCTTTTGGCAATGAGAAACTGGACACAAGCAAGTTCAGGATTTTCATGGTTTCATATATATTCAATGGGTTAATTAGTTCAACAAGACCACACACGTGCGAGGCGACTCTTTAAATTGTCGACTAGATGCTATTCCAAGTCTAACACGTACGACCGGAGGTTCCAAATCTAGGTATGGATCCAGCAGATGACTACAACTCGAGGTGAATTCGTTCAGTGGGCAAGATACCCTTTTGGGGGCATAATTCTCATCTGAAATAAACCAGAGCGTGCCTAAATATCATTGAACCCAAAAAATTGTGAATTGCAGTCAATTTTTTTCCTGCGTCGTCAAATCAAAATATTGGTCAGGTCTTTCCCCTCAACCTTACACGGCAAAGTCAAAATACGTCCTATGTTGACCAGCAAGCTATAGCAGAGAGGTGTTGTATAGTCTCTCATATTTTTTTCATTGCATATATGCTAGTCTCTCTCTTTAGCAGTCAAACAGTGCTGTTTGTAGGCTATTGTACGTGTCGGTGTTTTCAACATTGTTGGCAAGAACAATGAAACAACCAACCAGAAAATTTGTTCGCTCATGTTGTTTGGGACCGAATTATGTACCGCATACACAAAGAAGGAAACTTAAGATCATTCACGGTGTGAACCATGTGATCTTATGTAGACTTCATGTTCCTCCAAACAGAGTAATTAAGCAAGTCTAGCTTCAAATTAAAATAAAAATGGCAGACATTAACATTGCTGGACAATCCAGGTCATCTCGGCGTCCACTGGTCGTACAGGACCTGATGCATTTGCTACCTCAGCAGTTGCACTAGCATCATCTATCACAACGAGAAATCAGGGGCTCGATCCACTAAGCACCTTAGCATATATTTTACTGTGGCAAATCAATGTATAAGGTGCCTTGTGACAGTGAATCTAGGCCATTGGATCCAAGTATGGATGGCCAAGATCATAGTTTTCAGCTAATGCATGCAGCGATTGATTAATGTGCGAGTAGAGGCTAGTGGCGACGCCGAACTACACGCATCATTCAGCTCGCTAGCAGCCATATATAGTGGCGCACGAGTGGCCGACACAGCTTCTTTTATTCTAGCAAAACGGCGGCAGGCGGCTGGTAACAATGCCGTACGAAACAACTTGCAAAAAATGGAAATACGGGGAAATCTTGTGTGGGGAACACGTCGATTCCAACACATAATTAGGTTTCCTCGTAAGTTTAACAATGTGTGTACATCCAATGCATCTAGCATTGCACGATCAGTAGGTATGAAACGATTCGTCAGTTAATAACCGAGTGCTCCAAGATTAGTTTATTCGAGGAGCTCTCTTTAACGGAGAAGTTTCGGAATAAACTTTTTCGTGGAGATTAAAGCAGCACGCACTTGCTAGATAGGCAGAATCAATAAATCATATGCTGCAATGAGTAGTGGCAACTGCGAAATTCGCACAACCTCTAGATGGTCAGAACACACAAAAAAAATGGAGTATTCAAGTCTTTGCGCTGCTAGCTTGGTGTGCTTTTTTGAAGTGCAGACCTAGCGACTAGCAGCAAGTGACGCCCCAACGCATTTTCACCACTAGCAGCAAGCGACGCAGCAGCCAGGAAGCAGTAGAATACTCCTGTAGTGACTTTTTACAGTCTCGTTGGACAAAAAAGGGAGAGAAAACAGAATTGACCCAATTGAGCGAAACGTCATACTAGCTTCTTCCAGCTCTTACTGGGATTAATTCTGGTCGTGACAGAAAAACTTTAGTTCAGAATTAATTTTTGGTCTAACATGGCACAGCGAGTTGCATGCACGCGTGCATTGCGACCTTTTGAGGTCGCACATTTGGTGCGGTTATAGTAAAGGACTCCTCCTCGTCAAACTTGGCCGCTAGCTACGGAAGCGTACACGTTCACGTACGTTCATCGTCGTAACACTGTACTACTACATTCATATAGCTAAATCGTCCTGCAAAATTACAACCAAAACTGAGCAAAGCCCATGGGAAAATCGCTGGCTAGTTTTTAGATGTGTTCCCATGCATTTCCATTCCATGTGATTTTCGCGAAGACCATGCGATTCACCACTCAACGACGGACGACAACACGCGCGTGCATGTGGCTACGGATCAAACGTATGATTCATCGGACCATGAGCTGAAAATACGAAAGCAAATACTCTTACGTAAAAGCCTAAGGACGAACAGATTGTCCTCCTATGACTTTTTTTCCACCACCTGGCACTTGCTACTGATGATCGATCGATGCACGGTGCACGCATTTGTGCCTAACCTTCCGGACAAGGATTTAGGTGACCTTCCGGACAAGGATTTTTTACACCTAAGTACTGTGGTATCCATCAATTATATGTGACTCAAATAGTTATAGAAAAAAATTAAAAAAATTTAGTAGCATCGATTGTGATGATATAAGTCTATACATAACCATGTATGACTAAATTTGATTTACAACTAGAGAAACAAAAATAATAAAATCAGACAGTGAATAGTACCCATACAGCGTAGATAAAATTTGTTGTTTTTGTTTCTTCATATGTTGTTGATCGAATTTAGACTTGCATGTTTGTATAGTGTCTTATATTATCATAATCTATCTTATCAAATTTTATAAAATTTTTATATAACTTTTTAAATTGCATGCATACACCTAGGTGATGCCATGGCACTTAGGGGTAGAAAATACTTTTGCCATAATAACATGCACGCGCGCGGAGCAAAATGCATCGCATTGATTATCTGTATGCAAAAAAAGGGAATCCAGCCAGTGAAAAAATTAATCTGTAGAGCTGTACGACGTATAGCTCATCATGTGTACATACAGCAGTACAGCTAGCTAGCACAGCGAGAGCTAGCCGCGCCTGCGCTAGTGTCTCCAGCACCAAGACAACTCGCGCTTTTGTTGCGCTTGCAGATCCCAAGTGGCGTCAGTGCGTCACCACCATTAACGTACGAGAAAAACTACGATTCCATCTCTGCGTAATGCGTTACATACATAGAAAGGGCCGGCCAGCTTATGCCTTTCCAGTTTCTCTCCTCCCTGGGACGAAAAACCTGTCTTTTTCCATGATCCAAAACCATGGACAAGAAAAACCACCGGATCGACCTGGCTTACGAACGAACGCTGTGCCAATGTCCGCGTCAACTCGTAATCTAGTACTACTAGCTTGTCCAAGACTCGAGCCACTATATAAACACGTCCAGTTCCAAGCCAAAAACCCAAACTCTCACACTACAACAACCACAACACACTACTACTAGTGAGACTAGTAAGCGTCATCACGAGATCCAGGTTTAATAGATCGTTTAATCTACCACCGTTGATTTAGAAAGGGGTTGAGGGGAGGGTAGTAGTAGCTAAGTTAGGGCAAAGATGATTACGGGTTCGGAGGTGTACCAGGTGGTGGAGGCGATGGCGCCGCTGTACACGGCGGCGGCGCTGGGGTACGGGTCGGTGCGGTGGCTGAAGGCGTTCTCCAACGAGCAGTGCGCCGGGATCAACCACTTCGTGGCGCTCTACGCCGTGCCGGTGCTCATCTTCGACATGGTGTCCACCAACAACGTGTACAAGATGAACGGCCGCCTCATCGCCGCCGACACGCTGCAGAAGGCCGTGCTGCTGCTGGGCCTCATGGCGTGGGCGCTCTGGGAGCGGTCGCGCGCGCGCGGCGCCGGGGCCAAGGCCAAGGCGGCGGTGTCGTCGCCGCTGCAGTGGGTCATCACCTGCTTCTCCGTCGCGTCGCTGCCCAACACCATCATCATGGGCGTCCCGCTCCTCAACGGCATGTACGGGCCCGTGTCCAAGGACCTCATGAAGCAGATCGTCGTCATGCAGTTCTGCATCTGGTACAACGTCATCATCTTCCTCTACGAGTACATGGCGGCGCGTAGATCGGCCTCGGCGCCGCCGCCGGCGTCGTCGGAGGGCAGCGCCAAGATCAGCCCTTCGTCGCCGGTGAAAGCTGCTGCGGCGGCGGCGGACACAAACGGCAATGCTGTCGCGGCCGACCGGCCGCAAGAAGTGGCGGTGAACATCGAAATCACGGAGATGGCGGCGTCCACGGCACGAGACGGCGTGTCCGGCGAGACGACGGCGGCCGCCAAGGAGGTGAGCTCTGGTGAAGTTGCTCCGGTGGAAGAGGAGGAGGCGTCTGCGCCAGCGCCGTCGATGAAGCACGTCATCTGGATGGCGGTGAAGAAGCTGCTACAGATTCCGAATACCTATGCAAGCTTCCTTGGCCTCATCTGGTCTCTAATCGCATTCAAGTACGTCTTTTTCATCCATGTCTCGTACTACTACCAACTACACTTAGCAACATCTCTCACGTGTACGTACTGTACCGTACTATCTCTGTCCGGAATTGTTCTATTTTAGTTCTCCCCTGCAGTCACAAAAAAAAAAATTGAAATCCCTCTTTTTAATGGACATGCACTTGTGTGTTTTGCAGGTGTGGATTCTCGATGCCAAAAATCGTCGAGGACTCTCTGTTCACCATTCGTACCACCGCTGTAGGCCTAAGCATGTTTTCTTCAGGTTAGTACGACGACATGACGTATTGACATCTCCGTTTACATTTGGAACTGTTGGACTTCAACCGTGGGCCTGCTTCCTCCAAAGAGGAGATTATTACCTCGTCATCTGCTAATGTAATTAAGCGTGATTTTTTTTTGCGTTTCTGCAGGGACGTTCATAGCGCGGCAGTCGCGGTTCGTGCCGTGCGGATACAAGATAGCGTCGTTCTCCATGGTCATCAAGTTTCTGATAGGCCCGGTTGTGATGCTGTTCGCCTCGCTCGTCATCGGCATGCACGGCACACTTCTGCACATCGCTGTTGTGCAGGTGAGATCACACGAGCAGTTTACACATCACCGACTTATCAAAAAAGTTTACACATCACCTTGTGCACATTTCTGCCCATTAAAATTAAGTGGACAGAAATTATACACATGAATTCCAAATTCGACATGAAAAAAAAAACATAACGCAAATATGCTTCAAAGTGAGGACGCCTACGCGAAAAAGGGTTATTTTTTCTTGACGGATTGTCCTAGCCGCCATTTCAGTTGCAGATAACGGAAAATGGCATAGTGAAAGATGATTGTTCACGCTTGTAGAAGTGAGGAGACGTACGTCCAAGAAGGAAAAGTTAGTTGCAAAGCTGTACTTCCTCCATTTTAAAATATAGCAGACGGAGGGAGTAGTATTCATGTAGAGTAGTACTTTCTAGTTTGATGTGATCAATTAATACGAGTAGTAACACAATTTCAGAAATCTAGCCAACTTATTTTGGTTGGAGTACAGGAGTATTTCGGCACCCTCGTTTGATGTGATCAATTAATACGAGTAGTAACACAATTTAAGAAATCTAGCCAACTTATTTTGGTTGGAGTACAGGAGTATTTCTCTGACCACAATTTTTCACATGCATGCAGGCGGCTCTCCCCCTGGCAGTGACATCATTTGTGTACGCTGAAGAGTACAAGGTCCACGCAGACATCATGAGCACAGGGTTTGTTTCTTAACCAAATACTGTTAAGGTTCAGAAGTATTTCAATTCTCTTCTGATTAATGCAAGTGCCCATCTGACTGATCATTTTGGATTTCTTTTTGTGCCTTGCAGGGTTATTCTTGGGATATTTATATCACTTCCTGTGACAATTGTTTACTATATTCTGTTGGGGCTGTGAGCCTGTGATTGAGACATCTAAATTTAGTCGAAGGCTAATTAAAGTTGCATGTGTGCTGATGTGCATATATGTAGGAAGACAGAATACAAACAGTAAAAATACTGAAGGATGACAACAAGGTGAATTGATTTCCCTCCGGAGCCTGAAGATTGGGGTTCTGGCGAGAGATACAGTGAGATGTGACTGTAATGTTTGGTAATAATAAGATGTCACAAAAACGCGGCATATATGCTGAAACTTTTGCAATGTACAGCAAGTATACAATGAACAGGGCTTATTACAGCCCACCAGTTGATTCTTCGAAATTTAAAACGTAAGCAAACTGAGTACAAATCAGAATGGCTGGTGCTCTTTTTTTTTTTTTTGGGCATATAACTCTAAACACACATGCATTAACTTAACTCTATGAACGCGTGCACACCCACACAAAGCACCTCGGAGAGACTACTAGTCTGTGTACCTTAGATTGACGAATTTACCGTATACGCTTCATTCTTGTCATCTATCGTTGAAAATAAATAGTTGTAAATACGAACACCCATGCTACAAGTTAGAGAGACTCAAAGCTGGTCGAAAGGTTTTAGGAACTTAATCAGTAGTTGAGCTAGGCTCAATTCACATTTTGGTGCAATTTAAAAATCAAAAATAACGAAAGAGAGCAACATATGGTTGATAGCATAGTACTATAGCAAAAAAAAAAAGGAAAAAAGCTCACTGCTTACATGCCTACTAGTATTAAGTATCCCAGCATTATCATACGTAAGAACCAAGTGGAACTTCTGTTGATCCATTTTCTAAAAAAAAAAAGTGGAACTTCTGTTGATGGTGAAATATTTTGGTCTTGAACGTCAGCAGTATTAGGATTAGACTATTCGAGCAATCATGTACGCTGGATTATAACTTTTGAGCCAACGTTTCATATTTGTAAATAGAGAGTAATTTGTGAATAAAATTTTTATATACGTGTTCTTAATGATCTAAAAACAAAAACTGAAAAATATACTTTGATAAAAAAAACTCAAAATCAGCTCCAAATTTAGAGTTGAAAATTTAAATTTTAGCTGATAAGCATAAGCATAAGAGAAAAGATGAGACCTTAGCTAGGAGCTAAACCATTCTCAATATAAAGCAATCTATTGGTTTCTTCCTCTTCTTATGATGACGGCCCTTCTCTTGTTAATAAATTTGGCCAGCATTTCTTTGCTAGCTCGGTGAAAATCTACTGGTTCCTTGCTCTTCATGACTTCTTTTTTACCGGTTTCCTATTCATAACTTAACAACGTAACACATTTGTTTTAAAAAAACTTAATACATATGAACATATTGATAAAAGGAGAAATTAAATATTATAACTTCCATCGTCTATTTTGTTCAATGGAGATTATACCCAATTGACTACCTTATATCAACTGAAAAAATTAAACAATATTTAGAAACTACAACCTACGGACAAACTGTCTGGTAAGAACTTAATTAGACATTGAAATTTCAAGAAATAGCTAAAATAGAAAAAGATTGAACATCCTTTGAGTCCTGGTGAAGTTAGAAGTACTTTACTATACTAACTTGAATATTATTTTTTCTTCTTCATTTTGTTCTATCCTGGCACAATTCAAAGGCTGTCTTCACAAATAAAACCACGCCATTCAAGGCCTTCAACCACGCTAGGTCATACGGAGCAGCCGCCTGGGAATATTTTCATTGGGAATTAGGCCTCCTGCTTCCAATCTGTTGGGCTGGAATAGTGGAATGGCTGAATGGTGCACTGCTGGCTAAGGCTTTAAAGTTGGAGAAGTTTAATATGTTTTGTGAGAACTAATGCATGGCTCTTACTGCCTTACTCCCTTAATGCCATTCATATTGTAAGACAATTTTATTTATTTCATAAGTCAAAACTTTCCTAACTTTAACTAAGTATAGAAAATATATCGACATCTACAACATCAAATTAATTTTGTCGAGACACCGAGTCACGGACAAATCAGAGATATTAAGCAGGGAAATACTCTTTTCCCCACCTATCTTGAGGATGAGGTGAACTTGAAAAATATTCACCAACAAATGGTGTGGTATATTGATATGAATTATGTTATGTACCTTGCTATATGATTGGACTGGCTTATATAGCCCCCGAAGGTACACATAAAGTTACAATTTTACCCCCAAGGGTGCACCGAAATATACAATAATATCCTCCTAAAGTTATGAACCCTAAAGGTTTAACTGTACATTTGAGTGATCCCCGTGAACTACTAAGGCCAACTTGCCGGAGTGGTTGGAGCGGTCCCATAGCATCTTCTTGGGGGAATATTCCAAGCTTGATGGTGTGACCATCAAACTCCTTGCTCCCTTGTCAAATAGTATTTTCCTCTTGTGATGAGTTTGAATACCACTTTCCAAGCTAGCCTTCGGGCAGTGTTCCGTGGTTATCGTTTTTTTTCCTGTCACCTCGGTTAGTATTGGAAGAGTGTTTGGGTCAAATAGAAGGATGGTGTTTGCCTCCAGCTACAACAAGTTTCATTAAAATCTACCATAAAATATTTCTTGATAGTAATATCTATTTGGTATTATATATGTTAAATATTAATTCTATAAATTTAATAGAACTTTTTTGAGGGAAAATTTAATAGAACTTTGACTTAGAACAAAACTTAGGGTCATTTTGGTTTAAAGTCAAGTATTTGGCAACTTTAGTAAATATCTAGGGACCCCTAATATCTACTGGATCTTTCATTGAAGCCAATATTTTGATCTCAAAACAATACAATGAATACAAATCTACCATAATAAAAATTTATACTAATAAAACTTGCGTAAAGTTTGACACTACCAATAAAATTGGTAGAGCAGATAATCAAAACAAACTACCCTAAGGGCATTTACAATCTACCTTGTCTTGAAAAAAGGGAACTACTGTATAAACTATAGGTCCAATGGCTAAGGACATTTACAATGGTGCGAAGACTGGGAACAACCGTGGTATTAATAAAATTCGATGCTATTTTTTGAGAATATTATTTACAATTGTATAACGTGTTGCCTACTTTAGTTTTCTATAATAGATTCATATAAAATTGAAGTGTTGACTATATACAAATATATAGCTCACACAATAATGTTGACGGTTTTATAATCTATCTATTAGCTATAAGAAGATATCCCTTGTCTCTTCCACCGCCATCTCCTTCACGTCAACATATCTTATATGGAGAAGTAAACGTACAATGATGTCATACTATTGTATATTCCATAAGAAGAGAGGATGTGAAAAATGCAAAGATCTTGTAGCTTTTCGAAGAAGAGTAAAATATACCGGTGGTCCTGAAAACTTGTAAATTTGTAAGTAGGTATCAGTTAGGACCATAATCTTATAAAATACAGATATAGGTTTCTAAACATAAATCTTGTAGGTCTGAATCTGCCACGTGTACATCTCTCTAGGAGATTGCTTGACACTGATGTGGCTAGCATCTCACGCATCTCTCCCTCCTCGTAGGGGAGTGATGGAAAAGGGAACCTCGCCATTTTTATTATTTTTTTCTTATTTATGTGCCACATCACATGCATGGTCCTGTGCTACATCACGATCCACATCAGTGCTACAAGGTTATAAGACGATTATGGAACTAAACGACATATTTTAGCAAATTTAGGGACCTGGAATCCTGAATTTGTATTTTGCAAGTTTGACGACCTAGTTGACATCTCCTACAAGCTTAAGAACTGCAAACATATCTTACACTTTTTTTTTAAAAAAAAGCATAAGACCTACTATTACTTCAATAAAACCAGGGCAATAGAGAGTTAAAGTTATGTTGTTATAAGTGTTGGAACATATTTTAGTGAGCCAAAAAAATGCTACAATGAGGAGCGTGGCGGAGAAACCAAAGAGCTACCAAAATTCAGAAATTGGCCGGTAGTATGTGCTAATTTCTTTATGAAAAAGAAGAAGCAAATTTCCACTTAAAATTATCCAGTAGCATGTCTAAAATCCAAATATCGTGAGCTTCCGTGTAATGAAAATAAATTAATATTGTGTTCGAACTTGTAAGCCTGGTTTAAGAATTGTAGAATTTTACTGCTTGGAATTTGTAGGCATGGGAGGGGTCGATGCTTCTGCACGTTGAATAAAAATAAGAGAAAAAGGTCAAGGGTGGGGGGATAGGAGGGGGAAATGAATAAAATGTGGGAGAATAGGGGGAAAAAAGGGAAATTTTGAATAAAAAACATAGGGCAAATGGAGGGAAAACGGGGTGAAATGCAGCAAAATATGGAGAAAATATTGAGAAATATCGTACCAAGTCATGACATTCTATTTTACTATTTTTCTTATTTTAAAAGTTGTTTCCACCCTTCAATAAAGTCCTAATAGATTTTTTTTAGAGCAAAGCCCAACATACACGGTGATTAGAATTACAATGGTATAGATAGCTATAGTTCCATTGGCTAAGGGCATATACAAACAATTGCAGTATGTAAAAACATGGAAAGAATTTTATAGACAACTCTATAACAAGTTTCCTACTTCTTTTTTATATAAAAGTTTATATCTCAATATATTTCGCGAACGCTATATCTAAATATACAGTACACACAAAAATACTATTGATGATTAATTTTATAATCTATCTATAGCTATGAGATCATATCCTCTTTTCCATCTACATCTCCTTTTACGTCACCGTCTAATATAATAAAATAATCAGACGGGCAATATTATACTATTGCACTACCTTCATATTTAAATATATAACACTGCTGTTTTTATTTCATCAATCTCTAATATGTAACTTTGAGAGTTTAAGATGTGTTGTTACAGTGTTGGAAATATCGTGGCGAAGCCCCAAGGGAACGATGATGTATAAAGCCAAGGGTCCATGTAAATCATGTATGGAGTATTGTGTCTGAAATCTCAATATTGTGTCCATTCCATGGATCGAAAAACTGGCAATTATACCGGCTAGTAACCAGTTTGGATCCAGGACCAGCCATGAATGTCTATTTAGAATTTCAAATTCAAATTTGAAGATATTATTCTGGCCACACGGTCCAAAATACAGGTCGGTCACCAGGATAAGAATGCTTGGCCAATAATTTCACCTAGCGAGGTCCTTTTGAACAGATGACGAAAGAACTCTAGGATGTCGCACTCGGTTTGAAAAGGGCATTTGAAAAGGACATTACCGGCCGGTCATCGACGACTTTAATTCGTTCGTGCAGCACCCAATTCCTGAACACAAGCCCTTCAAGAAAATGCACTAGTCAACCTCCCCTGTTTCATTGCGAAGGCAACCGGGGCCGTAGCTGCCCATCAGACTATCAGAGACACGGAGACAAGAGGGAGGCATCACCCGCTGCTGCAGCTTCCACAGACCACAGCAGGGGACACAGCGACAGCCCTATCGTATACTCGTATCGAATACGGCCAATGCGTGAGACGTTGCTGTACCACTAAATTACTATTACCCCGGGCGTCTCGGTCACAGCGGGATCACCGGGCCGTGCGGTCCATCGTCGTCCTGTCAGGAGGAGTGAGGACGGCGCGTGGATCGCCCGCGATCGCACGTTTCCGCCGCGCGGCAGACAAGTCGGCGCACGGCGATACGTGGTCGACAGCGAGGAGGTCTCGTTGAAATGAGCACGCGACGGCGGATTCGAGATGGAACAGAGGATGCCTGCCCGCCGACAAAACATTTTGCCCCTCAATGAATCAAACGAAGTCAAACCACATCAAAACTCACAATTCACAACGACATTGAGCAACCTGAACCGAGCCACCTGAACACCACGTGCCGCAGAATGGCCGGAAGGAATGGTGGCTCTAGCCTCTACTGCCTCAAGCAGAGCAAGTGATCAACTATCGGACCCATCCTCTCTCGTCTACTCTAGTACACAACGCTGAGTGAGTCACTGACTCATTGAGAACAAAATAATCCATGGCGCACATGGCGGTGGACGGTGGTGAGGTGGCCCATGCGCTGACCGGAGTCACAGCGCTACATGGCCATCGTCGTCGCTGCCGCCGCCTTGCGTCGACGCGTCGGAGTCGGAGCCGGAGCCGGCGTCGTGCTCGCCTTCGCTGGAGGTGAGGCGGGCGAGCCAGCAGTTGCCGTGGAGGTGACCGCTGACGCAGACGTAGTACTCGAGGCGGCCCTCGAGGCAGCCCAGCCTCCGCCACGCGGTGCGCGGCACCATCCCCGCGGCGACCATGCTCCAGACGCGCGCGCCGCAGTAGGGGCAGCGCACGCGCGGGTCCAGCGCGGCCTGGCGCCCCACCAGGCAGGCCCGCGTCCGGGACCGCATGAACCCGCGGAAGACGCCCCGGTAGGCGCCCAGGTCGTCGCCCGCGCCGGCCACCGCGTGCTCGCACGGGTCGGACACGTACAGCAGGTCGCTCCTGCACCGCCGCGACAGGAAGCTCCGCCCGGACGTCTTGGAGAAGCGGGACATCCGGGTGAAGTGCCCCGGCACGCCCGGCCCCGCCGCGCCGCAGCAGAAGAAGAGCATCTTCGCCAGCGCGGGCCAGCCGCCGACAATGCGCCCCGGCGGGGGCGCCGCGCCGCCGGCGCCGGCGCCCGCGAGCGACGCCACCATCCGCGGCGCCCTGGAGATGCAGAGCTCCCGCCACAGCACCCGCTCCGCGACGGCGCGCATCCGCCGGCTCACGCACGCCGCCGTGCACACCGCCTGCGGGTCCCAGTTGATCGACCGGAACACCAGGGACAGCACGTGCTCGTCCAGGATCCCCGTGTTCACGCCGCTGCCCCGCGCCGCCGCAACGCGACCGCCACCACCATCCCGGACGCCCCTCCCTTCGTCAATGCTAGTTCTGCCGCCGCCGCCGCTGCTCGACGATTCGAAGAACTGGCGCGTGTTCCGCGTGCCTCCGCTCATCGCTTCACACCCTCGCGAGCGTCACGCCACAGCGCCGCGCGCACAGGTATCTTGGGGTTGGGTACTTGGGTCGGTTCGCACGCACGTAGGCCAAGCAAGCAGCGGAATGTGCAGCTCGCAACGCGGCGGAGGCGGAGACGCCAGGAGGGGCGGTATATATACAGCCGTGGCGGGGGCTTCTCGTGCTCCCCGAAAGGCGTGGTGTCGCGGCAGGGCGGACCGCCCAGGCAGCCGTGTCACGGTCGCGCGCTTGACAAATGGACCACTCGAGCTTCAAGATCCCTATATCCATCCTCGGGCTAGATGGATCGTAGATACGACCAAAGCTAAAGTCATAACCCATCGAGCAGCAACTTTTTCTGCGTCCAAATATCCCCCGTCTCTAATCTCCTTGCTTCAACAAAATCAAGTATTAGCTCTTTCATTAAACGTAAGGATGTATCTCATCAGCACTAGTAAGGCAGTGTGGCATCTCAATCATACCACCTAATCCATACCCAATCTGGGTACTGTTCGTCACGACCTGACAAAATCCGGGTCACACGACCCGGCAGTTGCCATTTCTACACGCATTTGCTTCTCTATTTCTGGGTGTCCATGTCGTCCCACGCATCAATCAAGCATCGCACGCATTGTTTACACGAGCCTCCGCTGTCAGACGTCACATTACTTAACTCCATCGCCACCTTTCCTAATCGACAGCAGCTGGGCGTGCTGTGCTGCCGGCTTGACTCGTGAGGCGCCCCAAGAGCGGGGAGACGGTAGACGAGCCGGGAAACAGGCCATTTTCATGGGCGGGGAGACCGACTCGGCGGAGGTACACACGTGTCAGTGCCGAATCCCGGAGAGGGAAAAAAACGCCCGCGCCCGCGCGCCCCCACCCGCCTCGGGACGGCGCCCGCGCAGCCGGCCGCGTGTCGCTCGCCGCGCGCGAGTCGGGCGGTTCGGGGGCGACGCGCGTCGCGCATCCGTCTCCTCCCCCGTCGTGCCGGCCCCGCCCGCGCGTGCTGCTGCGGCGACAAATTTTTTTATCCGCGGTTTTGTGCCGGATTCTGGGCTTTTCACGGTGCGCCAGGTGCCGGGCGAGGAGACCGACACGTGCAGCCGAGGCGGGGGCGGAAATATCCGCTCGGGAAGCGTGGCAGCGACGGGTTGGGCGGGGGGGAGCACGTGTCGGGGCGGGAGAGGGTTTCCGGGCTGGGGTTTGGTGGGGGGACTGGATTGGGGGAATCTGGGCCGTACGCGTATACGTGGCGAGCTTGCCGGGGAGACGCTTGGTTCTCAGCCTAGGCCGATCGACATTATTTGGCCATGGCAAGTGCTTTAGGTTCGTTCAGCTCGTTTCACCCGTAAGCCTGCCAGTGGGCTGGATTTTATTGGGCGAAATGGATTGGATGTTGATTTGGATGGTGGTGGTTGGATTCAAATGGGCTGATATTAATTTTGGATTGGAGCGGGTTGGCCTGTGAAGAATTGCGGTTTGGGCTGGAGTGGATGCGGGTTGGCCTGTGAAGACTATCCATGGATTCAGCCCATGGGTTAGCCTCCAAAACAAACCGAACTATCCCCACTCCATTCCAAACCCTACACTCCCCGCACGCGCCTGTGCGCGGTGCGCCGCCGCGCACTGCCGCCGCCGCCGCCACAACCGCGCGCCGTCACCGCCGCGTGCCGTCACCGCCGTTCGCTGCCACCGCCGAGCGCCGTCACCGCCGTTCGCCGCCACAGTCGCCGGACTCACTCAAGAAGGTGACTCATCTTTCATGTTTCTTGAAGTGGCGTTCTCTCTCTGCTTGGTCGAGCTCCGCTGATATATGTTCTTGCTGTGGGCAGGGAGGTGGCAGATCTGCGGTTGCGTGACCTCCATCTTGGATCTCGGTGAGCTGGGGGGACTGTTCTTGGAAGTGGTTCTTGGGAGCATCCTGGTATGGTACCTTGGCTATTTTTGTGCTTTTTCTTTGTTTCGATTTTTAGATAATGTGGGTTGGTTCGATTGGAGATGCTGAAGAGTGGTGGGTTTCTGTTGGGTTTAATGCCGCAGCTGATGTCCCATCTTAGTTGTCTCATGTGATACATACTCTGCTGGATTGTAGTATGTGTGCCATCAGACATCAGGATTAGTCACAATAATTAGGTCTTAACTCTTGAAAGGTAAAGACTTATGAAGCTATTGCCAAATTAGCAGTACCAATGTCTCATCTAACCTTGAGAAGTCATCTAGATCTCTGGTATACTGCAATGCTACTGAAAAAGAAAAAAAAAAGATGTTGGAGATTTGAACAAATTGGAATTACACAAATTGATTGCTAGCAATGTTCTGTTATTCGCAATTAATTCTGTCAGATGGTTGTTTATAATATATCAGTGCAATTGCACCCTTTCCCAAATCCCAACCTCTAAGTCATGTTTATTAAGCATGCAGCTTTTTTGCTGCTTAATGGTGACTGTTGAGCGCATCTAGAAAATCCAGCACTTAAACTTTTAAGCTGTTGGTCAAAGGATAAAACATTTTGAATGTCAGTTCATTCAGTTCCATATAACTACTAATCTGTTGATTTAGGTGGCTGTCTTTCACTGTAGTATTAAGTAGCTAACTATTTTATGTGTTGACATGACATGAGGCCTGTCTTTCTTGTTCAAAGATGTGATTTGATATTCATTATGTTATTAGTGGAGTTTCAAAAGGTGAAAAAAAAAGTGCACAAGAATATTTATGCACGGTTCTTTGAAAAGAAACATGTCCAGCCCCCAAATGCTAGATGCATGATTACGGTGTATAACAGGTTGCTGTTGGGTATGCTTATCATTTCACTAGTTTTTAGCACAAGTAGTAAATGTAAATATTAATTCTGCACAAGTAGCAAATGTAGATATTAATTTTCTATTCTTGTCAAACACAGGTTTATTAAACATGTCTATGCAAAATTCTGAAAGTTCATCTGCCAATAGTTCTAGTCATGAGCTGCCTTCACAAACACGTAAGAGAGCAAAAGTGTGGGAACATTTTGAGCAGGAGCTTGTCATGATAGATGGTCTTCCAAAAGCACAATGCAAATATTGTGGCTTAATGTTGTCAGCGACTAGAAAATCAGGAACTAGCCATCTCATAAACCATATTTGCGAATCTTGTCCACTAGTTGATGGTGAAGTTAGAAATAGGTTTATATCAACAGTTAGGAAACAACCCGTGGAAAATTTTGTGTTTGATCCTAAAAAGACTGAAGAGTTGATGATAAAATATTTCATCCATGCTGAGATACCATTCCATAAAATTGAGGATCCCTACTTGGATGATTGGATGGCATCCATGCAGCCAACTTTTAAACTTGTGGGTCGTCAATCAATCCGCGACAAGATTTACAACTATTACAATAGGCTGAAACAAGAATTGCATGCTGAATTAGAGAATCTTGATTCGCGTGTATGCCTAACATCGGACATGTGGACCTCAAATCAAAACCTAGGATACATGGTTGTCACAGCCCACTATGTTGATGCTGAATTCAAAATGAAAAAGAAAATTATAAGTTTGAAGCCTGTGAAGTATCCACACACTAGCTTTGCAATTGAAGAAGCCATGATGAGGTGTTTGACTGAGTGGGGCTTGAGTAGCAAACTGTTCACCTTAACTTTAGACAATGCTAGTAACAACACCGCTGCTTGTCAAGAATTAGTGAAAACTCTCAAGGATGAGTTGGTTTTGGAAGGCAAACATTTTCATGTGAGGTGTTGTGCACACATCCTCAATTTGTTGGTTCAAGATGGGATGAGGGTGATTCGTGCAGCAATAGATAAGATCCGTGAGATCCTAAAGTACATTGAGCATTCACCCTCACGCATTCAAGCGTTTAATTCAATTGCTTCTAGTAAAAGTCTTCCTCCAAAATCTGGTTTCACTCTTGATGTACCAACCCGTTGGAACTCGACCTTCAAGATGATTAGAGAAATATTGCCTTACAAGGCTATCCTCAATAGCTATGCCTCTGAAAATTGTGAACTTCTACCAACTGATGAAGAATGGTTGCATGCTGAATCAATTTGTGAATTTCTTAAGGCTTTTGAAGAGGCTACTAGAGGTGTATCAGCTCATAGGACACCAACTGCACACACATTCTTGCCCCATGTTCTTTGTATCCGTCATGCTTTGAGTGATCCTGATTGGCAAACCAGCGATCTTTTAAAACGATTGGCTGCTCCTATGCACACCAAGTTTGCAAAATATTGGGATGAAAAATTGGCAAACAACTTCAATTTGGCACTTGTCATTACCACTGTGTTAGATCCAAGAAGGAAAAGAGACTATTTGGATTTCTTTTATGAGAAGGTGTCTCCCCATGGTTCTAATGTTGAAAGTAAAGTGGACTCTATTATAGAGGAGATGAAATCATACTTTCATGTATATGAAGGAATTGCAAGAAAAATGGGTGTATCCTACATGTCACAGTCTAGTGAGAGAGTTAGTGTTGTAGGCTCACCTGTTTTGGGAAAAAGAAAGCTAGAGCATGAATTCACCCTCTTCAAGTCAAACCGGAAGGTTGCACGTACTCAGAAGTCAGAGATTGATACATATTTAGAAGAAGTATGTGAGGATGATAGTGAGGATTTTGATGTTTTGGCATGGTGGAAGAAAAATTCCAAAAAGTTTCCTGTGTTGGCAATTATGGCTCGAGACTTTCTTGCAATTCCACTTAGCACCGTGCCCTCAGAGTCCGCTTTCAGCAGTGGAGGAAGGATTCTTGGAGACACAAGAAGCTCATTGACACCAGAGATGCTCGAGGCACTTGTTTGTGCAAAAGATTGGCTACATAGAGCCAAAAAACAAGGGGATTAAAGGTATAATATCTCACGCCTTGTATTTCGTCTCAGACTTTGTGGTCTGTGCCATACAAATAGTAATTGTAGATGTGTTTTCATTTTATATTGTTTGATTAGTCACAAAATCTAGATTAATTTGTCTGAGTGCCCACCAGTATTACTAATATTTGTGCCAAATTTTCTTTGATCTAGGTTCGTACTGAGTACTGACCATATGATGTTTTGTGAAGAAGGTTTGGTATGATGGCTGTTTTTTTTTACAATGGTGGGGTCCCTGTGCTCAGTAACTTAATATTGTTTTTTGTTCATCAGTTGGTGAAATGTTAGGCGGAATTTGTAACACCTTGCAATGCCTTTTATATCTATTAGTTGTATCCTTACTTGTATATATTCTTATTTGAGCAGCTAGAGCATGTTCAGGAGATAGATGAGAGCATTGTGTATGTGAAGGATAAGCAAGGAAGGTGGCCTCTCTCTTCTCCCAGAGGGGCAAAAAAGGCCCCAACCAGGCCTCTGTCATCCTCTG